TAGTCACTGTGTGTTCAATAAATAGTGACATTGTCAAGCCAGATGGCCGAGAGCATAGACTTTGAACCTGGAAGGCCTGGGTCAAAGGCTGAATTCCTCTATGTGCTAACTGTGTGGATTTGTTTAAGAGAAAAGAGATGGGGAGGGTGTAAAACAGTAGCACGTGCTCTGTAGTACTGTGGTGCTGTGAGCATGCTTGCCTGTCGCATTGTGTCCAAATGTCAAAAGTCAGTATTAGATACGGTCTCTTCTTTGGGAATCTAGTACGGCTAGTTTTGAGGGGGAAACACATCTCTTCTTTCTCCAGTAGAAGATAAAGGGATCCTTGTCCCCACCCTCAGGCGGTGCCAGTCTAAAACATTTTATAGATTGATAGCCAATCTTTCAGGAAACTATGCCAAACGTTTTTCTGGAAGATATTGTATATCGGATGTAAATGAGTAGTCATGCTGGATTTAGTTACCCAACCCCTCCCTAAAAATACCAAGATGGATGCTAATTTCATTCATTCAGTCTACTGCTGTAAGGGAAAGTGACCAGCCATGGTCCTCAGCAGACGCCTTGGTCACCTTCTAGCAGCCAGCTGTCAGTCATTACTGAAAGGATGTGAAATCAGAGTTCACTACTGCCGATGCAGAAAATAATACGGCTTCAAGAACAGGGTGTATCAGATTGATCTTTAAGCACATCTGTACTCCAAGATGGTTCAGTTATGCCGTCTATCACCGTTGATTCTCTAAACGTGGTTGGCATGGGAAAAGTAGGGCTGAGACTGTGACAGTGCTCTGACTGCAGAGATGCCTTGTATCGTGTTTATAATGTGATATGTGAGCCACCCACCACAGCAAGATGAAGAAGACCTGATTCGGGAAGCAGAGACCACTGATTACACGTTAACTTTACTCATGGAATTGTAATTCATTTTTCACAGCCTGCTCTTATGGCTTTCTCATGGGCAAACACAACTGGCACTGTATTTTGCCTTTTCCTTAAACACTGTTACTGGCATGTGTGGAATGTAAGTGAAGTAGTGTGCCATTCCATAAGAACATTATAACTGACTTCTTACAATTCTACGGCACATTGAAAATATATATTTAATGACTCTTGATAGTTGGATGGAAAATATATTACATGTAGAGGATTTTTAAAAATAGAACTTTTCAGTCCTGAATTTTACCTTCATTTGAGGCAGTCCATTCAACTATAAAGTATATAACAGTCTGTGTTTTAGCCAAAAAAAATCCCACCTTTCTAAGCTATAAAATACACAGAATTGAAAGGTGACACCTAATATATTCTTCATTAGATACAGATGTTCATTGTAAAGTTTTTTTTCGAGTGTTCATAGAGAGCAGGCCAATGGATACTTGTGAGTTCCAAACCAACCAAGTGAAAAGTGTAACTCTGGGCAAATTTCTGATGACTCTTTAATGAAAAACTAGTTTTTTCATTATTAAAAATTCTTTTCAATTATTATAATCCTCTCAGTATCTTGAAAATATGAGGAAGAATCTTTAAAGTGGTGTGGAGTTTAACAAATAAGACATCAAGCTCCCTTCCAGAGGAAAAGTAACTTCTAAGCAATTTGTAAAAGAATCAGTTAAGAACTTGGAGTAAAGTTTGTTCATCTTGACATTTAAGCACGTCTCAATAAGCTGACCAGTTATTTTAGGCAAATATTTCTGGTACTTATGTGTCATGCCTGTTTGCAAGGTAACTTTCTTCTCATTAGACCAATATTGGGAGCATAGCATGCAATCTGTTCTGCTCACGTTTTGCGTTTCAAGTCTCCTGTGTTCATCTCTGAGTTGACTGCACTTCATGCGACTCTGAAATAAGAGCAGCCTGCTCAGTGAACCACTGTGGTCAGCACTCTGAGTACTCCTGCGTTGCCACCTGCAGAAGTCATTATCTTAACCAGAGGCTAAAAAGTGAATTATCCAGCAGGGAGAAAGAGAATGTAAGGACTGCCCCCCTTCCCCTCGTATATACCCCCATCCACATTGTATGAAAGTCATTTTAAACAGATGTTTCTTAAAATTCAAATAGTGGATAATGTCAGTCTACATAAGTAGTTTATCTGTGACTCATTTGAGCTGTAGTTAAGTGTCTATGGAATTTCATCACCTTCATTTCTCTTAAAATAAGAAAATAAGTCTGTTTGCACCCCAGTGTTTTGTCAAGGTTTGTCTAGAATGTTTATTTAGTTTACAGCCTTGCTGATTGAGTTTACCCAGTGTTCATCACATGGACACACAATACTTACCTCTGTAGGAGATTTCATTTTTAAATCTATGTATTTTAAATGTGTGTATTTGTCGACAAGGTCTTGACCCTAAACTAGTCCTGCTCCCCATGTCTTCTGAGTACTTCAATAATGACTGTGTAGCACTTAACTCATTGTTTTTAATGCTCACAGTGGGACTCAGGGCTTTGTATATGCCAGCCAAGCACTGTACCAACCAAGCTACATTCTAGTCCTGTAGGAGATTTAAAAAGACACATCTCAAGTGGTTTATATCATATTGAGGAAAGTAGAGCTTTGCACAAAACGTATTATTTGCAAAAGGAGAAAATGCTGGATATACTCCCCAAAACAAAAGCTGTTTGTAAGAATGACTGTACAGAAGAGAGTAGTGAGCTCTGGTAAATCACTTCTGGGAAGCAGAGTAAGGGGAGATGGAATTCATCCAGGGAGCAAGCACGGCACTGAAGGCATGCAAAGATGAGTAGGAAGTCTGGGAGATATCTGATCGAGGCATGTGTGGACTTCAGGCAGATAGAAGCATTTGGTTACAAAGGTGGTTAGAGGCATCAATGGAGGCCATTGGTTTGGGATAAATTGCATAGATATTTTTTGCAAGGAAGAGCTGGGACCAAGAGCATTAGCAAAGATGTCTGAGTGAATACTGAATCAGGAAAGATGGTGTACAGCACTAAAAAGTGACTGCAGACGGAGGAAATTGCCCCCATTCTTGTGCCATTATGTGAGTCATCAAAGCATGATGGCATGGGCAAAAGAGACAACAGGATTTGTGACTTTCAAGTTGTAGGAAATCAAGGCAGAAAAAAGAACCCCACTGAAAATGAAGACACAAGCAAAGGAGATGATTTGGAAAAGATGAGCTGTGACAGCTGCGGGTGGTGGTTCCATTTACATGGTTTGGGGGATCACGGAGCTAAAGGGTTTTGGATTCCTTGGGATATGATAAAGATGTCCTGAAATTATACTGGTGATTGTACATTTCTGAATATATGCACAGCATTTGAATTGAATTATGTACATTAAAGGGGAAAATGATAAAAGACATGGAGTAGATCTCAGTAAATTTATGAAATGAAAGGGAAAAGACACACTCTGGGGATCATCTCAGGAAAGGAAGTGACTGAGATCCAGTCGAGTGTGGAGATAACGGGTTGAGGACCATAAGCTTTAAGAGCAGTGGTGGCCATGTGAGGTTTGGTGTGGGGAGGGAGGAGCAAAACCGAGCTCTGGAATTGCCGTCTCAAGGCTGTGCTCAGAGGGGAGCTCTGGAATTGCCGTCTCAAGGCTGTGCTCAGAGGGAAGGCTCAAAGGAATTGCTGTCTCAAGGCTGTGCTCAGAGGGGAGCTCAAATGGTTTTTATTTTAGTGAGGGTTTATCTTTTGCAATAATATTACCTAAATCTTAATCAAGGATAATGCACTAAGGCAGTTTATAAATGAATTTAGTACAGTTTAGATGAAGTTTAGTGGCCTTTCTATTAGAGTAGTCTGTGATGGTTTACTTATGTACTGTTGTTATGTTTAAAAAGAATGAAAGAGTTTTTTGTTTCCGTTTTCTCTCATGCGTGCGTGCGTGCGTGCGTGTGTGTCTGTTTGGTGTTTGAGTTTAAGGAGGGGTCGGAGATCTATATCAGATGTCTTCCTTAGTTGCCTTCCACCTTAGTTTTAGACAGGAACTTTCACTGAACCTGGAGCTCACAGTTTCAGATAACTAGAGCTAGCAAACCCCAGAGAACCTCTTATCTCTACCTCCTCAATGCCTGTACCCCAGCTTTTCATTTATAAGTCTCTCTCTCTCCTCTCTCTCCCTCTCTCTCTCTCTCTCTCTCTCTCTCTCTCTCTCTCTCTCTCTCTCTCTCTCTCTCTCTCTCTCTCTCTGTCCTTCCTCTCTTTCCTTCCTTTCTTTTCTTTCTTTTTCACTTTATTTGCCTGAGTGCTGGGATTCTGAACTCAGGTCTTCATGCCTGTATATCAAGCCATCGCCTCAGCCCCTTTTGACTTTATTGATTATTTGATTACTGGTTGATTGACTGTTATTTTTGAGATAGGGCCTCATGTATCTCAGACTGCCTTCAACTGGAAATGTAGCCAAGGGTGAGCGTGAACTTCTGGACCCTCTTGCTTCTACCTCCACATGCTGTGGCTGTAGTTGTGGGTTTTCTTCCTTGTTTCTGGAAAGTGAACCTATGTGTTAATGAGTGCTAGACAGGTGCAATAGAGCTACTGAGCTGTTGTGTTATAAGTAAATATAATACAGACATGACATATCAGTTCTGCTTTGCAGGTCAAAACAACTGAATGGGCTACCAAGGATGAGGATTGAACAAATCAGAGAGACCCAGTGTCTTTACATGCTGAGAGGCAACATGCATTTAGTTTTTAATACATTTTGCTTTGTTTTCTGTTTCCTCAGAAGGCTAGTTCTTTGAGTTTCATTGGCTTTCATTTTATCTGATTACTAAATGGTGGGAATATTTTACTCGGAACTATTTGTCAAATTATTGGGAAATACAATTTCTGTATAATTAGAATGAATATAAAATGTTGAGATTCTAACTATGAAATGAAAACATAAAATGCCAAATAAACCATTCTTATAATCAGTCCCCATTTCAGAGAATTCACTGAGAATGAACAGAAGCAGCTCCTAATGAAATTATGTTCTTTAGTGTGAATCTAACGTCCGTGCTAGGGAAAGAATGTGTTTCTAATGCTCTTTCGTGTTGTTCCAGGGAAAGAGATAACAGCAGAAACCTTCATGGAGAAGTTGGATAATGGTGCCTTGCTCTGTCAGCTTGCAGCAACTGTGCAGGAGAAATTCAAAGAGAGCATGGATGCCAATAAGCCTGCCAAGGTAAAGTTCCCAGGTCAAAGGCATGGTCAAGAGACAGGTTCTCCTGTGTGGAGGGTCCCCATGCAGAAGACACTCTGATAGGAGGTATACCTACAGTGAGTGTCTCTATGCAGAAGATATTGATGAGAGATGGGTACTCCTGCAGTTAGGGTTCCCATGCAGAAGGCACTGCTGAGGGATGGGTACTCTTGTGTGGAGGGTCCCACACAGAAGCACTACTGAGAGCCAGGTCCCGCTGCAGGTTGGGTCTCTGTGCAGACAGCACCTCTGAGAGTAGGTATTTATTTCCTCAATGACTTATGAATAGGGTTCAGCGTGAGAACTAGGTGTGAACGAATGCATCAAGGTCTGTGGTCGCAAAAAAACACAGACGCTAGTTTGTCATTAGGGAACATGCAATCTCCCTTTTAATTGCATAAACTAGGTAATCCTTTCAGTACGTCTCATTAAATGAAAGCTTAGGGAAAAGGGATGCTGTTTCAAGAGGGCAGTGTGTATAAACTAGCTTCATCTGAAATACTGTCAAGAAACAGTATAAATGTAACTGTCATCAGGCAATGGGGGATAAAAAACAAAACAAGAAGAAAGGTTTACTGAACAGTTCTTCTTTCCAAAAAAATACGTCAGAATACTGCTGTAAGCTATCTGGAATGCATTTTTTTGTGTTTTAATAAGTAGGATCACTGAACTAAATAACTTTGGGAAGTTATTTTACTTTTTAATTGCTCAGTTTCTTTTTGGGTCTTAGTTCTAATCTTTTTAGCTGTTACAAGCAGATTGAGAATTGTTAATTTTGATTAAAGAAGATAAATAATGATTTTTCTGATTTCTGATATGTAAGGGAGAGAATAAAAGGTTAAAATAATGTTGAAGACAGCTGAAAGGGGATGAAACACACAAGTTATAAGTGGCTCCTGCATCTGTGGTGGACCAGAGGAGCACTGCGTATGCGTGTTTATCATCATTCGCTTAGTCTGATGTGTGTTGTTTTTATACATATGTGAGTATGTTTCTATCGTTAAGGGTTTTCTTTTTAAGTGTTTATCGACTTACATTGATTATGCATATTAATGGGTTTCACTATGGCATTTTCTTATTTTATATCACTCTTTAAACTATTGTGTCCTAATCCAAGCCTGAGCCCCAGTTTTTTTTTTTTATAGCAGCTCTGTAATGCTGTAGGTTAATCCAGTGCCTTCCAAACTCTTTTACTGAGAGTACCACCTGACTGTTGTTAGATTGTGTTCCCGCCTAAACATGCTGTCTGATTCCCTATGGGATGCTTCCTGGACTCATTCCTCAAGAGCTACCCAGGACACCCATGCCCTGTGTGGCATGGTAACTGATATATTTTCTTTTCCCATTTCTTTCTCTCCCGATTGGAAGGTTGCAGATTCTAAGGACTTTGCACAGTTCCCATGGCTAGGAAGCAATTGTGCAAGGATGTAATAGACACATTCCCTACAAGTCTAGTTCTTCATGCCCATTGCTGTGGAAAGTGCTTCATGTAATGCTTTATATTAGACAATTTTCCTTATGCTGTGATCTCTACTGTAATGGAACAGACCTCCATTTAGTTTAGCACTGAGAAAGAATATGCTGAAAGGAGGCCAATTAGTACAGAAACTTTACTCTAAAGCAATCAGCAGAGAGGATGGCATTGTCACTAGGCTTCATTGATAGGTCTATCTTACCATGTGCAGGTGCCTCTAACCTGCATTTTTGTTGGGAACAGAAAGACCAGAGCCCAAGGTCAGGATCACAGAGGAAAACTATCCTGGTAAAAATACTGTAGACGTCTTTGGTTTTGTTTGTTTTGGACATGGCTTTTTAGTCCAGAAGCAAAGATACACAAAGTTGTAATTATGTGACAGTGAGGTGCGAGACAGGCTCAGAGCATGGATCTGGAGTTTAGAGACTTTGCCTGTGTGCTGAGTTTGCTTGAGATAGCTTGTGCTATATGCTAATTGGCTGTGTCTGAGTCTTATCTTAACTGTAATATGGAATTAGTACTAATTACTTATAACATAGTAATTAATAGCTCTGGATAAATAGTATACACCTTGCTGTGTGATGCAACGTTTTCAAAAGATGAAAATGAAAATTGTTACTATCACAGTGGCCATTATCATTCATAAATATGTTTTTGTTTGAAAGCTGCTTTTCAATCCAGTAACATCCCTTCCCTACATGAAGGTGGCTTAACAGACCCTTAGTGAATATTTTAGATTAACTAGAGGAAAAATAGTGCTTTGTAAATATCCATATTTAGCATAACAGCCACCGTGAGCACATCTATAGACATTCGCCGCAGTCTTTAACACAGACTATGTGAGGAGTGTTGAGGTCAAGAATTTTACACCTGTTTTCTTTTGAAACTCTTTCTATAATAAAACTATTGAACACAAAGTCACAAAATAAAAAAATTCTTGCAAATTAACAAGAACCGGAGTCATATTTTATTAAATTTGGATTTTCTCAACCCATCTTTTTCTGTGGTTGTGATAGACTTACTTTAGACACAAGCCTAGATATGGTTTTTAAGGAGGAGATTAAAATGTAGTATCACTTCACTTCTGCTGCTTGAAAGCCCAAACTTAAGAGTCCATTTGGCACAGTAGCTCTTGGCTGAGTTTTCTTTTTTGTCTTTGACAGTATATATGTATTTTACAATGATATTTTAAATAAGAACATCATGTACCCTGCCTGTGAACAATGTAGCATTTTCAAAAGATGAAAATCAAAATGATTACTGTCACTGTAGCCATTATTATTCATAAACATGTTTTTGTCAAACTATTTTTTTAAAATCCAGCTTTTCTCCCTGGTGAAAATAGATACATAGGCGAGTTGGGGGCATACTAGTGCATGTCTTACTATCCCAACACTTGGAAAGTAGAAGCAGCAGGATGAGGTGTTTACAGTCATCCTTATTGTACATAGAGCTCGAGGCCAGCCTGGGCTACATGAGACCATATTTCAGAGAGAGAAAGGGGCACAGAAAGGGAACGAGGGGAGAGAGAGGTAGAGATTGCTTTAAATTGTACAACATTTTGTTGCTATTCAATCTAAGTCTATATTAAAGGATAATGAATTAACTAAAACCTAAGAGTTAGAACTACACTGGATATTTCCCAGAGGGAGAAAGACACTTTTAGTTTAGTTATGCATATCTGATAATTGTGCGATAGCATTATGTCTATTCTGTGTTTGTGTGTATGTCTCTGTGTATGTCCTGTGTGCATGCATGTGTTTGTATATATGTGTGTGTATGAGTATGAGTCTCTGTATGTGTTTGTGCATGTGAGTGAGTCTGGGTATGTACGTATGTGTGTAGGTGTATGTGGGTGTGTCTGTGTATGAATGTGTGTGCATGTATGTGTGTCAGTATTTGTGTTTGTGTGTTTCTGTCTGCATGTGTGTATATGTGTGTGTTTAATATGCCTATGTATGCTGTATATATGTGTGTTTGTGTGTGTTGTATATATGTGTTTCATGTCTGCATATGTTTTTGTTTGTATGTATATGTGTGCATGTATGTGTATATGAGTATATGTGTGTCTGTATGTACATGTGTTCATGTATGTATAGTGTATATGTGTACATGCATGAATAATATATATGTCATTGTATGCATGTATATATGCCAACGTATGCATGTATGTATCTGTGTATGTGTATCTCTCTCTCCCCTTCTTTTGTATCTGTGTATTTGTATATGTCTGTGTGCTATGTATATATTTGTGATATATTTGTGTGTGTGTGTGTGTGTGTGTGTGTGTGTGTGTGAGACAGAGAGAGAGAGAGAGAGACATGACTGCCCTACATTTCATATTGAATTTAGGAATAATGACAATAGTTGAGCTTGTAAGCTTTTCCTCTGAATTAAATAATAACATCATATTCAGGAAGCCTTTAGTGACTTCTTCTAATATTTTTAATTTCATCTTCTCATTTTACAAGCATTATTTTACTTTCCTTTATTGATGGTTCATTTGGGAGTTTTACAGCTGGATAAACATGTTTGAGCAAGTTTGGGAAATCTGCTACATTCACAGTTTTCTGTGTTAGAAATTATTTAATGCTCTCGATATTTGGAAGCAAGTTTGGATATGTGAAATGCAGTTTATAGAAAATGCTTTAGCTTTAGAATCTTCCTTGCATGCTTTAGTTTCATGAGACACTCCAGTTAGAAAGAAATGAAGTTTATAGAAAATGTTTAGCTGTAGAATCTTCCTTGCAGGCTTTAGTTTCATGAGACACTCCAGTTAGAAAGAAATGAAGTTTATAGAAAATGTTTAGCTGTAGAATCTTCCTTGCAGGCTTTAGTTTCATGAGGCACTCCAGTTAGAAAGAAATGAAGTTTATAGAAAATGCTTTAGCTGTAGAATCTTCCTCGCAGGCTTTGGTTTGGTGAGACACTCCAGTTAGAAAGAAATTGGATTCTGTACTTCCCTCTGAGAGCATCAGTATGTTCAGGTTAGCACCAGCTTCTCTAGGGCACTAAAATTTTGGCCTTTACTTTGTAGGCAACGTCCTCACCTAGTATAGTTGCAGTGGAGTTAAAAGAATTGTATGGTAGATGTATGAAAATAGTTGAGCCAAGTCTATGGCAGTTTAATATAAAATATAATTAGTATGTATATCAGAATGTAACAAATTTACTGTTAATGTCAGAATGAGCATCACAGGATTTGAGATTCTTGAATGATGAAAAATCTAAGCCTAATCTATGTTATATCCTGTATTTCCGATCTTGTTTTTGCTTGTGTATATGTGTGTGGTGACCATAGTGTGTTTTAAAATGGTCACATGTATGTGGGTACATTTATGCCTCTCTTCTTTTATGGTTTTCTACCTTATGTATTGAGGCCATGATTTTCACTTGAACTCAGAGCTCCTTAGTTAAGCTAGTGTAGCTAGCCAGCTTGACCTGGGACATCTGACTCCCAGGATCCAGGATTATAGGTGGACAATAATACCCACCTCTCATTTACATT